AGCCAAGTTTTCTAAAGTAGTGCGTTAAGAACCCTAATGGCTAAATAAGCCTAATTTATAATAGAAAAATCCTTCCTAGAAAATGTCATAAAATGAAACTAGGAAACAAAATAAGTTAAGATAAACTAGAAAACATAATCCTACACTAATGTGGAGAATCTGCCTCTTCAGAGATATCCCACATTCAAGGCCTTAGATACCTTCAAAAACAGGCACATGGTGACTCATTTTTAAGTTTGAGATGTCCTGAACATATTTACAGAAGCGCACATCGCCAAAAGCCATCATCTTGGATGACAAAAAGCTCAAATAAGCCCAAAACGTCACATTGATAACTTTGTGCACTGATCCTTTATTTCCATTGCCATAAATTAAATGCTTGGCAAAAAAAATTTGAAACTTTGACACGAATAAGTTGAAAAACTCACAAACGTCCTCCAACTGGAATCACTCCAAAGTTCGCTTGTTTGATTATTTTTTGCTCAATAAAGACTCAAACGTCCTACATTGAAAATATAATTCCAACTATCAAAATCTCACTAAAATAATTACCAAAACATTATAATAATAGGGTAAAGTAAAAATTATAAATTCGACTCATCAATTGGCGCATGGAGGTGACGGTGCTCGGTCTACACAACCTCTTGGGCTGATTAATGAGCTTGGTAACTTGATCTTTGGACCTTGAGGTCTTTTATGGGCTTCCTCTCAAGACTTATCTCAGAATATTACAACTATACATTATTTTAAGGGTTTTTTTTTTTTTTTTTTTTTTTTTTTAAATTTTAATCATTCAAGAAAATTGAAATTTAAAATAAACCTAGTGTTAGATTACATATTGATTATAATTCCTTGATGTGCCTTTAATTCAAAATAATTAATGTGCATTTTATTTAATGTCAGTTAAATATTTAAATTTATTAATATCCAAATTTTAATTTATTTTTTGACCAAAAAGGAGTTTTTTAATTTATTAATTTTATTTAACATTCTTCAAACTTGAAAGGATTCAATTAATGTACCTAAATGTTAGTACCAGAAATTTGTGTACCGAAATATATTATATTGAACTAATGTATTTAAATGTTAGTACCGGTATGTACCGAAATGTAATGTATTAAATTAATGTACCTAAATGTGACAACCCGTCTCAACGGAAATCAAAGTCCTTGCCTCTAGGGAATTTTCATAAATTCACGCTTTAAAAATTAATAAAAACGTAAAATTAGGGACGGGTTGTCATATAAATGTGTATACCAAAATGTATGCATCAAAATGTTAGTATCAAAATGTATTATATTGAATTAATGCCTAAATGTTTGTATCGAAATGTATGTATCGAAATGTGTGTACCTAAATGTATGCACATAAATTTATTATAATAAATTTAATGTACCTAAATAAAGAAGACAAAGTACATTGAAATATATTGTATAACAAAAATTAGTTTATGACACACCCCAACCGAGACCAGAGCATGCTGGCCGTCACGTGGAAGTGACGTAGCCATGTGCACAGTGTGGAAGCTAAAGGAAGTAATATAAAAGTACGAATAATTTAAAAACTAGCATATATAATGTGATAAAATAAGTGCTAGCGTAAATAAGACATTGAATTCAGAGCATAAAGACTATAGCAGTCCAAAGAAAATGATACGACAGTAGTACACCCGAAGGTGACCCTACATTGGTGAGTGTCTGTCAGAAATGCCGAGACGCCCTCTGGGAAAATCACCGAACCCGCTAAGCTACTAGAACCTGGAGGGGCGCAAAACAAAAGCGTGAGTGGGCAAAAACAAAGCTCTTTAAAAACCATTTAATAAAATACATTCTAAGCCCTCGCCGTAAAACCTGTATACTTCCCAGAAAAATAAACATATATACGTATGTATAAATATGCCAATCATGCTCGAAGGTATGTCATGTCAAAGCCTCATAATGATATGCAAGTGCTCAGGTATAAACCGTATCAGTAACATAGCACTAGCAGCCGGAGTCACCTAAAGTGACCTGTTCGGCTGAATCTAGAGCTCAAATCTCAATCTCAATAACTAAACCTGCCCACGAGTCGGAACCACCTATAGTGGTCTGTACGACAGGCCTGGGTGTAATACATATAACGCTCTAGTGCTACGATCACGTGAAGGCTGTGCGAATAATCGCGGGTCACCTACGAGTCGGAACCACCTAAAGTGGTCTGTACGACAGGACTGTGCACCTAACTTGGATCCAAGCTAAGCGTATGGTGCGGGAGGTGAACAACACGTGAAGGACTGTGCCCTACTCTGGGCGGCAGCACTAACACCAGGGGTGCAGGTTATGAGCTCTCTAAGCATCTCGAATCACCATTTAATGCAAAGGTTAAATAACGCTTACCTGGCCCTCACCTGCGCGTCCACAGCACCAAATATGCATATGTATATGTATGCCACTACTAATGCATATGATAATGCATAAACAATAAGGATATGATGCATGGCATAAACAAATGACCCTTTTTTAAACAATTTCTGGGAATATAAATGTATAAAGGTATATACGGAAAACCAAAAGTCCACTCACTGGTATGTGGAAGGGTCGTAGCCCCCCTTGTCTCGAGTGCGCACGCTCGTCCTCGGGATAGGAATCACCTATATGCGAAATAACTATAAAAACGTTAATTTTAAAGCACATAACCTTCCGTTCAAAATAACTTCTCATACATTGCTCAAAATAGACAATTGAATATACCAACGTGCTCTACACAACCTCAGGATCACAACCATATTTTTAGAAAAATTTTCCACCGCCGCACGCGCCGCCACGCGCCGGCCAAGGCACGGCCACACGCGCCGGCCAAGGCACGACCACACGTGCCAGCCACGCACAGGCACGTGCCTGGCACGCTGACGGCGTCAACTGACGCCGTTAGGAATATTCCGTCAAAACTGACAGATTCCGTTAACGGCGTCAGGAATATTCCGTCAGAATTGACGGAATATTCCGTCACTTTCTCCGTTCAGTCTCCGGCGACGTCGCCGGCGCCGGAAACTGGGAAAACCTGCAACTTGGGTTTTCTCACTCATTTTTCCACCGTTTTTCACGTTTCTTGCACCAAATTAAACCTTAGAACGAGTAGAACACATCCAAACAAGTTTTAAGGTCTAAAACTACAAGATTATACCTGTCCAAAATCTCCATAACCGGCCAAGCTCGAACCAGGCTATTCTGACGTCCACTTCCGTCCAACGATACACTCCGAGGTTCCTTGGGACCTCACAAACACAACTACAAGCTTCAAAATCCCAAAAACTAGCTAGGTTAACCTTGCATGAATAGTACACGAATCTGCCATTGTAGAATCAACGTGAAAACAACGAATTTCATACCTAAAAATGGTATGATCGTGCTCCCCTCGACCTCACGATCTCGACTGTGAGCTTAGATTCTTTGATCTGTGGTGAAATAGTGTGGTTGTGTGTGTGTCCGTACCAGTTCAAAGGAAGAGGAAGAAGAAAGGAAACTCGGGAGAGAGAGAGAGAGAGACAGGGAAAGGGACAGGGGAATAGGGAAAGTGAGGGTGTGAGTGTGTGGCCCAGATCGTGCCTACACACATACAAAACAACTAATAACTTAACATAAACGAACTAGGGGTAAAAATGTCATTTCACATGCACGTTTTAGATAATTTCCGGGACGGGATGTCACAGTTTATCTAAATGTTTACAATAAAATATAGTAGGATAAATGAAATGGAAATTATAATTATAATGAAATAAAATTAATACATTAAAAATTAGAAAGAAAAGAGAAATAATTAAAAAAATAAAAATATAATTAATAAATGAGATTATTAATATATCAAGGAATTAAGATTAGATTTTGATCTTACTAATGGTTTTAATCTAAAAGTCATATTTCTTTATGCATAAAACATAGCAATTAAAGGACCTTTCTACGTACTTTAGGACGGTTTTGTTCTTTTTTTTTTTTTGTTCTTTTTTTTTGGTTTAAATCTGGTTGTTGGATAATTGTTGCAATTGTTATTATTTTTTTTTCTTTCTAATGGAAGCTTCATTAATAGAAAGGAATTAATTGGTCGCAAGGCAGCAAATATGCAAATAACCTTTTCTTGTTTTGTTTTTAGTCTTTCACTTTTTTTGTTAATGGTAGAGAGGAAACACATGAGAAAATGAGGGATGAGAAAGAGTAAAAACAAATGGATGAAAGAGTGGATGGTGGAGAGATGTAGAAGAAATATAGATAAAATGAAAACTACAAAACCAAAACTAAAATTTATTAAGTTGTTTTCACTCGTTCTTCCTTATGTCTTCCAGCCTCTTCCATCATTCTTCCTCATTCATGTGTGCCACATAAGAGTTAAGACGAACAAACTTTTTGGCAGAAGTAGGCTTTTCACAGTAGTTTGAGTGAGTGTGATACTTATATATAGGAATCAAACAACTTAAGTTTGATATCTATAACACTGCTGCTACATTAATATGAGTTCAATAACTGTTATAGTCATACTTTAGATTTGTAGGCCTTTTACGGCTGTAGGAACGTGCTTCCTACAGAAGCTCAATATATTAGTGTCACACTTATTTTTTTTTCCGACTTATTATAAAAGACCTTAATGACATGATCTAATAGTGCACGCTTTGTTAATTCAAAAACTTCATTTAACAGATTTTTAACTTGTAGACCAATTGTAAACTAAGGTCAAAATACAGAGTTCAATTCTATAGTTTACTATATCATTAAAAAGGAAAGAAGAAATTTTTTTTTAGGGCAAATGAAAAAAAAATAAGGTACTAAATTGGAAAGAGAACTTTTTTGGACGAAAATTAGACGTAGTGACGACGTCAAAATTTGGAAAGGACGGTAGGGATTCAAAGTGTCTATTATCCGACGGATAAACATGGTTATGTCATTTATGTAGATAGGCTTCCAAATTAAGGGTAACATTGTAAAAGCACACTAAGTTACCGTTGGAACCCCTAACGTCTACATTTAGATGGCCAAACCCAAACCCCCTCAATTCCCAAATTTGAAAATCTCTTCTCACCTCTGTAATTCTCTTCTCTCATCTGTCTCTCCCTCCGACGCTATTCTACGAAGTCACTTGAAATTCTACTCTCACTTTTTCTTTCGGTTCGTCTGTTTTCACTGGTAATTACTTCCTCGTCTTTCAATTTCCGATTCCTTGTCATTACTTTGGGTTTAATTAGGGTTCAATTAAAACTAATTTAGGGTTTCTGTAATCGTATTGGGTTTTAATTAGGGTTCATTTTATATATGAATTCAGTCGAGTCTTTCTTCATTTATCTATGTTTAACTGTTAAAAACCCCCAATGTTGGGGGCGAATGCCTAATCCTGAGTTAGGGAGGATTTTAGGGATTCGGTGGCGATTTGTAGCTGAATTGGCAGTTGAATAGTATGAACAAGGTAACCCAGAATTGTATTTTTGTTTTGGGTCATGGGGGTATGGATTCCTTGTTCTTGGGTGCCTAATTCTTGAGTCTTTTGTAAAAATCTTGTAGATTAATTTCGGGTGATTTTTCATTTTCAAGCCCTAATTTTGGCCATGTTATAATCAGTGGTCATTATGCACGTTAAATTGTCTGTGATAAGGGATATGCTGAACAGGTGTTTCTGCATTGTATCTTTTCTCTTCGGTTCCGTATTCTGAATTATATCTAATGCTTACCTTCCTTTATTTTTCTCTCTTTTCGGATTGTTTCTACAGTTATCAGAAGATTAAACTGAATTGGCTGCAAAAAAAAAAAAAAAAAAAAGGCAATGGCATCAACACTTGGAGCTTTGTTTCAAGATCAGAATCTGAGTGTTCACTCTAAGGGTAATTATTGAGTCTAGTTATGCTTTTAGTGTCTGAAATTCTTGCTGGGCTGTTTTAGTTTAACCCTTGTAATATGTATGGCAGGAGCTTCTGTTGTGGGGAAGGGTGATGCCTTGAAAACAAAAAAGAAAGGCGGGCTTGGTGGAAGGAAACCGCTTGGTGATTTATCGAATTCAGGGAAGCCTGCTGGTCTGACTCAGGCATCAAAAAAGCAGTCTTCCAAGGTAATCATTTGTGGTGATGCAAGCAATAACAAAGGCTTGTCTAAAGCCTCAGATAAAGTTCAGACCAGTAACAGGAACGCGTTACGTGATATTTCAAACACACGGGATGCACCGGCGAAGAACAACACAAAGCAGAGGGTAATGCCAAAGCAGCCTGTTTGTCCTGATAATATTGCAGAGGAAGGGTTTCTGCACAATCATCAAGAGTGCATGAAAGCACAGGACATTGATGAGATTCATCAGTTTCGTCAGTTTCTGATGGCACTTGGAGTACATAGCGGTATTACATCTTTTAAAAAATAGTTGAGTTTCTTGAAATTGGTTATTTTCCTGGGCATTTCAACTTATCAGATCATTCACTTTTTTGTTCAGATTCTTCCACATCTTCATGTGCATCTTCACTGCCAAGTAAATCTGAGGTAAGTTTTGCTTTTCATTGCCAAGAAGATTGCTTTTTTCTGCATTTACTCTTGTTGGGTTGGACTTTTCTTAACCCCTCATGTTTTTCTTTGCTTCGGCCCCAGAGTCCCTCGAAGTATATGGATTTGGAAGAGATACCTGAGGATCGAAACCCCTGGCAGTCTGACAACCTTGACTCTCCACCTCCTTGCAAGACTCCAAAGTCACCAAATGGCTATACTGATTCCCTTTTGATTTGGGAGGACTGTGACTTCAAGTTGGCGAACACACCATAATTTCCACCGGATTGATTCCCCTTCAATCTAAATGTGACATACTCACATGCGATGGAGCATCAATTCAACTTGAAATTGATGGTAGTCACAGTAGTTCTAGATGGTTTCCTTTTTGTTGATTGAAGATTCTTGGTTTGTTTGTAAGTGAGAATGTGAATGCTCTTCCTTGATGCAAAACTCTGTGGTCCCCATCATGTGATGAACGCTTTGATTCTTTTGTTCAATGCACATTATATCTGGTTGTTTGGTTACGAAAGTAGGAATGAAAAATTTGGATATTGTAGCTTTAATTCATACCCTCAGAGTCTTGCAAGGATCATATCGATCGTGAATGGTAAGCTTAACTCGATCAGACTACGCAATTAAGTCTATTTATACAAGTTTTTATCTAAAAAAAAGTGCGTGTTGGAGATTAGTGGCAGCATAAATGATTTATTAAGAAGAGATCCTCACAATCCGATTCCAAGAACACAAAGTGATTCAAATATATGCATTTTTACAAATAACCATGCTTTCTGTACAAATTATTCAAATCAAGAACAGATGTCTTGAATCATCATGCGCCAACATTTGCATGCACAATCCAAGAAATCAAATGCTTGTCAGAAATTAGACATGTATACAATATTTATACACATACCAAATATATATATATATATATATATTTGGTAAGTGAGACCTTGTTTTCCCTTCTTATTCTGGTTCTGATTCCAAGTAATTTTATCCCAGAGATGAGCCTCATGACGACCTGTCCACCTGTGCCTATATTTTCATACCCAAATTCCCAATCAAATCTAATCAAAATTCCTCTCTTTTTTTCTCAGCAACCAAACAGAAAGAGAAAGAGGAGCTTACTTACCGAGTGACTCCACGGTAAATGGAGCTGCGTTTTCCAGTAGCACACGGAGGAATTTTGCTGATGCGCTCTTTTGCCGTACATCCTCTCTCCTTCTTCGCTTTGTTCACCCCTCTGTACACCATTAGCTGATCGGTCGCCATCACCTCCTCCGACGCCTCTGCTTCCCCACCGCCACTGCCGCTGCTTTCGGTCTTGGGACCACTCCAGTTCAACCCAAACCAAAACCCTAAAGAGAGAGAAATGGAGAGAGAGATGAGTGCCTGAGTGTGAGTGAGTTGTTTGGGTTTTGTTTCTGTTCGTTTCAGTGAATCACCGTGGAGGGGAAAAGCTACAGTGAGAGAAGATGAAGGGGAGGTGCAATTACGAATGTGCCCCTGTTTTGTTTTCTTGATGGCAGTCATGATGCTTCGGCAAGTTATTGTTGAAAAGGTTGTAACGGCTAGGATGAGAAGCGGGGTAGTTGCGTAATTTAGGATGCTTTTCAAAGTGCATGCTGTGTAGCAGCGGCGTTAACCGGAGAGCCAACCAAGTCCATCGGCAAGGCCAGACTAATTGTTTGAAGTTTCCTTCTAATGTGGTTCGTTCCTCACTAGATTGACCTTTGAGTATTATGGATCCGAATTTCTTGGACATAATACAATCTACTTGGTATGATCACTGACTGACGGTCTCAAATACGCTGTAATGACATCCAACGAGCATTCTGATTGTTAAAATTTCAAAGCGTTTGTAACGAGAAATCTACGGTACCATTAATCATGCTACATCACCTTGAGTCTTTGAGATTACAAATTATGCCACTTTAACTTGAATCTGTTTACATCGAAACGGTTGGAGAGACTGCAATTTGGTTCTGTCCAAACAGATACACATGAATGTGGAACAAGAATTCATTTACAGGCTGTACATCAGGCAATTACTAACATTCCTACCATTCTCATCTCGGACGAGCTCTACAAAACTTACACATCATCTCCTATATTGCATTTCGGCCTATCAAATATGTTACAGATGGTACTCGGCAACTGCATACGTACCAGCCATTGTTGACTCCAGCAGCCTGTGGTTCTCTTCCTTCGTTCTACTTATCACCGAAGAGGTGGAATGTGTATCGCAGGGCTCGCTTGTCGAATCTTGGTACCCAGATTTTCTTTTTAAAAGTTCTGCAGAAGTTCATAACCCGATTTTAGTTATCTAATCATTCAATAAGTGACGTGAAGGACTTTACGAAGATAAAGAGCAAAAGGAAAAATGTAGACCACTTAGACTGAAAGCAGCAGCTGCAGATAAAGATATTGCAGCGGAATGTAAAATTAGTTAATTCGACAATGTGAAAGCAGCAGTTATGACACAGCTTGTTGTAAACATATTCATCATTGACACGCTCAACAAACTGAACAGCAACCGCACAACTTTTGTTTTCTGATCACAGAATCAGAAAACTAGTACTACCAAAAACAGGTACACAAAAAAATTCTCACGCAATCGAATTGCTCATATTTTAACTAAACCCATATATATCATACCTCTACCCAACCACATCCCAAAGGGAACACCAATTCCCCCAAATATTTCAACTGGCATAAACAAAGTATAGTCTCCAAGATAACAGAATTCGGTAAAAGGATATATTCATGTGCATACCAATTCTTTCTTTTATAAGAGTAGCATATTCGGCTCCAGCACTTTTGTGTGCAAAAGATGATATATCAAGGTACATTTGGCTTGACGGTCGAATTCCAGCATCCACCATCCATTGTAGTACCTGCGCAAATATATTGTTTGGACTTTGAGTTTGACATAAGCATGAGATAGTGTAAGGTGAATCTTGCATTACACTGTTGAATGGCCACATATAGCACATATAGCTTACAACCTATAGAAGCAAGCAAAAATTAAAGTTTGCCTGCAAACACGGCACATTTGTGGTTTCAGTTTGACGAAGTTCAAATCTTTGTTCTAAGACAGTGCTCCACCCAACTCTTACACATGGATTTTCTTATATTTCTTATCTTCGAGACTCAATGTATAACATGCAGAACTTTTGCTAGAGCACCATAAAGTAAGAACAAGTACTGTCTCAATATGATGCCAACGTAATTGGACTTTTGGCCTTCATATCATGTGTGTGTAACCAACAAATAGCATGATGCAAACTATTACAGCATTTACTTTGACTAAAACAAGTGCATAAATGGAAGTTTGATGTGTAGATTACCTCAAAATATTTTCTCCAATTTCCGACAGACAAGAGATTCTTCAACAAAATTGAATACGTATCAAAATTGATATCACCACTGGATGCCACTATCTTGTAGAATAACTGTACGGTTGACCGTGATAAAAGAAAAAAAAACCTATTCATAATCAGAGTTTGCAGAATAGTGCATATTTAACTTCCAATAACTTCAGTTTAAAAGAAAAAGGATAGATGAAAGCAAATCGGTGCTTGCATAAATGTAGTGTGCTTTGTAACATTTATCTATCAAATACTAGAGAAATTCTAGGTACCTTCATCATAGTTTCAACCTTTCCACTTCTTCCAAGAATACGCAGAAGTTGATTCACAAGTCCGATTGAAACTCTAGGTAGTGAGGGCTCAATCAACTTAATCAATTCCATTGTTGTTCTCCAATCTTGTAATCTTCATTCAAAGTTCAAAATTTCAGTTTCTTAACTAACACAAAAATTTGTCCAAAAAAAAAAAAAAAAAGGTACAAGAAACCTAATACGAAAAAAGAATTTATGACAAAAGCATAGAAACTATAATGCCTCTTTGAAGCAAATTTAATAATTGGGAACAGAGATGAAGTTAAAATATGGCAAGGATAGAACATGGACAGATATGATGCTAAGGCAAGTTACTCATCAAAATAGTAATACAAAATATGGACACAAGATACTTTTCCTAATTTACATAAATAAGCAATTTTTCCAGGATGTATCATACAGACGAATGTATTTGTATTCGTAATGTAAATTCAACTTAGATGGGAAATTTTCGTAACGAACAATTCCATTTTATGTAAGCTAATGTTGTATAACTTGTATCAGTCCAGTGAACGAATAAGACAAGTCTTCAAATTGAGAACAGATAAATCTATTAATAAGACTAAAAAATAGAGAAGGACAAGGAAATGTGCAGACGACTGCTCGTAGAGAAAGTAAAGGAAGAAGAAGAAGCGACTCACAAGCTACAGGCCGATACCATTTCAAAGAAAATGGCATCACTGAAAGGAATTTCTTTTTCTCGCATGATTTCAGCCAGAATAAGAACCCTGGATGGGTCGCCTCCTCTGTTAAAAGCTCTCATTAAAGCTGAGCATGCAATGACATCTAGTTGGATGCCATTAGTTTCCATTTCTTGGAATAGAACACAAGCCTTTTCCCAATTCTCTGTTATACAAAGACCACTAAAAGATTTAGTTCCATGTGTGCTTCATCCTACTAGTGTCCAAGAATGCCAGAGGTTTAACATACAATCTTACCAGTGGCACTATACGCATGCAGCATTGTAGTATATGTAACTACATCAGGAGCACAACCAGCCATTTTCATCAAGTTGAATATAGATTCTGCTTCCGTAAGTTGTCCCTGAGTTATTGTAATGAATAAAAAGAAAAGAATTAATGATGTTGCTCTCAAGTAATCAACAATATAATAAGGGGTAACTTTGGCTAAACAAAAACTTGCCATCTTGCTGTAGGCAGAGATCACAGATGAGTAGACCTCTTTGGAAACAGGAATTTTCAAATCCACCATTTCATCAAAAAATGTTAGTGCCTCACTGTGTTTTGAAATCTTACAACAGCCACTTATCAACACAGTGTACGTAACAGAATCCGGTTTAACTTTCTTCTTTCTCATAGATTGATACAAGTTTATAGCTTTCTCATGTTCTCCCAAATTCATATAGCTTCCAATAGCTGAATTATATGCAATTGTGTTCAATTCAATGCCTCGCAGCTTCGCTGCTGAAAGCACAGCATCAATTTTCACCTTCTGACCACATTGTCCACAAGCTGCCAGAAGTGTGCATATTGAGACAATGTTTGGATGAATTCCATCTCGCTCCATCTCACGCAAGACTTCTACCGCTTCAGCTAATAAACCATTAGATCCATAGGCATTAATCAGCGCGTTATAGCTCACAAGATTTGGCTTCAAGTTGTTTCTTTTCATCATGTCAAAAACTTCCCTGGCCTTTTGAGGTTGTTGGGATCTTCCGTATGAATTGAGTAGAGATGTATACGACACAACATCTGGCCGGAAACTACTTTTCTTTATCTCATTAAAAACTGACAACGCCTCTTCGCTCATCCCATGTGAAGCATATGCACCCAATAGTGCATTGTATGAAACAATATTAGGTTTTAAGCCTTCTGCAAGTATTGTACTGAATACAGTGGTACAATTTTCTATCTGCCCGGACATAGAATACAGATGAATGATGCTGGTGAAGGTCACAATGTCAGGACGGCATTCAGCTCTCTTATCTCTCATAGAGCTGAAAATATCAATGGCTTTCCCATATTGTCCAAGCTTTACAAGGCAATAAATAACAATATTAAGGGTGGTTGTGTCTGGACGGATATTAGTTCCCTTCATAAGTTCAAAATAAGATAAAGCCTTTGAATACTGAGCCCCAGTTTTGTATGCAGATAAAACAATATTGTGAGTCACAAGATCAGGCCCAACTCCATTATCTGTCATTTTCTTGCATACTTTCAAAGCTTCCCTCCAATTTCCACTAGATCCACAAGCATTGATCAAGTTGTTATATGTTGATCTACTAGGAGGGATCTGCCCATAAGATAAGTTCATGAAAATCAATGACGATATGATATCAACTAACAAAGATCAAATCTACTGTACATTGGATGAAGGGAAGGTTATTGATTCTGATTCGGGAATGATATATTGTTTCATAACCTTAATCTGTAGATTAACATTACAAATAAATTTGGAGTGCAACAAGAACTATGTCATCTAACTAACCCAACAAGATGCGATGGTTTGACCTATAAAGTTAAGGTGTTCCAGAAGAACCTTGGTTTTTAATTTATATGGAAAAGAGCTATTAAGCTGCAGGGTGTAACAGGTAAAGAAAATTCACTCCAGAAAAAAATTGAACATGCGAAGACGTAACTCAATCAACAATCAAAGTCCGTCTGAATTTAAAGCACTAAAAGACATATGTGACTCAAAACAACATGAAGGCTTTAAATGGACAGCAAAATGAAAGTCCAAAGACTCAAGAGTCATAGACAAATCAGTACAATGCTTTCTCTCCCTCTTCCTCCCTACCCCCTCTCTAGCCCTGCCAAGAAAAGGAACATAGGCTATGACTATGATATGTGATATTGCACACTTTTCTCCCCATGCATCATTTGAGAAATCAAAGACAAGATAAAAGTTGCTGACATCAAGTCAGACACGCTAAGATTAGAAAGAAGAATACAGAAAATACACACAGCTGCACGCAACATGTCATCCATAAGATTCATGGCCCAACGCCATTGACCTGCTCGACCATGTGCATTGATAAGAGCATTGTAGGACTCAGCATCAGGCTTGCACCTACCAAAAATTCATTATCGCAAACTTTCTAGTTATTGTGAATAAAGACAACAAATTTGATAAAACTAAGAAGTTGAATGTCTTTGTTGATTATATGGAGCCAATGTCGTCGTTGCTCACTTAGTTGTAATTCACTAATTCACAATGGGTTTCGACTTTTGAACATTATACTCGGTTTTTATCTGAACTGCTATCCTTTCTCCTCTGTCTTAACTGTGCTAGTCTTCACCTAAACTCTAACCAAATGGGAGAGGCCGAAAGTGAAAAGTACAGAAACAAAAAGAAGTACCTCCACTCTTGCATTTCGAAAAACAAGCCGCGAGCTTTATCGACAAGATTATGCCGAGCGTGCAATCTGATCATCATATTATACATGTCAGTGCGAGCACAATAGTTCTTCTGGTTCTTCATCCACCCGAACACTCGCACACAGTGCTCCACCGAACCCCTCTCTGTCATTTCCTAAACAAACAAAGCAAGCAACCCAAATTTCACACACAAATGCAAACCCCAAACTCTAAACCCTAAATCAACAACATAAACAGCTCCGAAACGGAATTGAAAATTTTACCTTGATGAGAACAGGGAAGTTCTTACGAGCAAAGCGCCCGACCCATCGATTGAGCAAGCCCTCGATGTCCTCCCAGTGGCGGAGCTTGTAGAGGCGGTCGACGACGTCGGAGACGGCCCAGTCCTTCTGGAAACGCTCAGTTTCGACTCGTAAACGGTGGCGTTTGGGGATGTGTTGTTTGGTGAGGCCGGTGATTCGGGTGGAGAGGTGGTGAGTGCCGTGGTCGTAGTCCACGGAGACCTGCTTCTTCTCTTGGAAGGCGGATGAGTCGCCGTTGTTGGGTTTTCCGCAGACAATTTGGTTCTTGGGGCGGGTCGGGTTGAAAAACGGTGGCCGAGATACGGTGCCCATTAGCTTCACGGTGAGCGAAAGGGCGAGGGAGAATGTGTGGATAAAAGGATGGAACCTTGTTAATTAAAACTTTGGGGCGCGTTCGTGTAGTTTTCAAAACTTGAGGGGTTAGTAAGTAAAAATTGAAAAAGTTGCCACATTTACACTCGAGCAAAGCATTCAGCTCTGGGAGTGACGAGTGAGAGTGAGAGGAGAGAAGGAGAGAGGAGAGAGAGAGAGAGAGAGAGAGTCATGGAAGGCCACTGCGAGGACGATCCAATGGAGGAGGAAGTGGTTGAGGCTATGCCTAGGAGAATCAAAGGCAGAGGAGGTTTAAGGGCGCCGTCCAAAACCCTAGACCTCGACCACCCAAACAACCCTCCTTTCCCCCGTTGCAATGCCTCCCAATCTCCGAGTTACGCTCCTCAACGCTGTCAGTTCCTCTCTCTCTGGCGTTTATTTATTTCATTTTGTGTAATGCATTTTCTTTGTGTGCGAGTGCTTGATGATCTGTTTGGCTGCTCAGAAAGTGATCAATGACGGTAATTAAGGAATGCATATTCTAGTGACAACATTGAATAAACTAGGGCATTTGTTTATGCTGCATTTTCTTTTGAAAGAGTTAGTGTGCGCGCGCCCATGGCATAGGGTCTTCCTCTTTAACCCACTGCGTCCCAGGTTAAGACCCTATCCCCTCCCCTCGTCTAGCTTAGAGTAGTAATATCGTTTGTAATCAAGTGGATGTTAATAATTGTTGAAAGCTACTTGTTTATTAAGAAAAAAGTTAGTTTCATTCACTGCAAAAACCATATAATAACATATCGTTAGTTAAGTTCCAAGGAGATCAGAACTATCACTGTGTCCTATACAACTATGGTTGAAGGTTGTTATGCAACTCTACAAAGAGGAAAAAGAGTGCTTCATATGATTCGAAAAGGCAGGGTGCACAAAAAAGAATGCTTAAGGACCCAATCAGGACCTCTATGTTCTCTGATTATTAATTGTGTTTGTCTCTACCTTCTTGATGGTGATTAACAAGAAGAGAGGTAGTGTATTTTTTTGGCATTCAGCAGATTTGTTTGTCCTTTTCTTTCACTTAGTAAATAGGTTGGATTTATTTCTTGGTGGCATTGGGGTTATTATGTGTGCAGCTATTGAAGGATGGATCATATTGATCACTGGAATACATGAAGAGGTACAGGAAGATGATCTTTTTAATGTATTTGGCGACTATGGAGCAATCAAGGATTTGCATCTGAATCTTGACCGTCGCACTGGATTTGTTAAGGTAAGTTGTTTATTTACTTTTCTTGCATACAAACCTAAATGATGCTTCTGTTCGAGCATAACGAGCTGTATTTATATGATTGAAGCCTTAATAGGTGTGTTTGTTTTATATTCTCGTTGCCCTTCAGATGGTATTCAAATTAACTTATTTTCAGACTCATTAGTGTCTTTTAAGATTCATTAAATATGAATCAGAGTTTATACAATTAGACAGCCTTTGGAGAAGTTGCCCACTTATTATTTCATATAAAGAATGATAAAAGGGTTTATTCTTGTTATAATAGTTATTTAGGTAATTTAGAGAGCTGCTTTTGAGGATTTTTGTGGTACTTTGTAGATTGTGTCAGGGAGTAATACAATAAAATAAGTATATAGACAGAATTAGTTGAAAATGATTTGTTTTCCTTTTCCCAGCATGGATAGAATAGTCAAACAGTTCACCACCTGTGTGTGCAGTTCTTTTCCCTTTCTTAGATTTGATACCTAATGAAACGGGTTGGTGTATGCCTGTATCCTGTTCTTATTGGCTGTATAAAAATGATCGAGATTGTGGTAAGGTCTCTTAGATTTAACAATCTGCTCTTTGATTCTTCAGTTATATCATATATGTTTATTTATGTATTGTTCGAAATATAGTTAATATAAGTTCTTATTGCGATCTGAAACTGGTTTATGTTGGGAGATAGAGTGATTCTCTTTGCCCTTTTCACCTTGTGCCTGCTGGAACATGGATGGGGAATTGAACAGGGAAAGTTGATGTGTGTGCCTATCAAAAAGTTAATTGTTTTTGTTGATCCTGTTGGATATATTGGTCATCTAAATCTGTAAACAACATCTGCCTTGAATCAGTTACGTAAGTTACCAACATTATGTTTTCAAATATGTGATCTGCAATTGTATGTTTAATTGCTTCCTGTGAATCTTTTGTGTAATTGTCGATTTGGTTTAGGGATTAATTTTTCTCTCGTATCCAAATGTTGAATTATTTGGATGAATTGTATACTTCGTTTGTGCATGATGCTGCTCACTCATTCATGTCAAATATGTGGCGAAGGGTCAGATTTGGGCTTACTCTTTTGTTGTTCGTTGTTATCGTTTGTATATCTTTTTTGCTTTTTATACATGCATTGTTGAGGTGGACTCTATATCCCCAACGGCACTTCTTTTTGGTGATTAACATACATACCTCTTGAAAAATAAATAAAAAAGGCAAGGAAATGTATGATACTTGTATTTTGCTTACTGATGCTAAAAGGTTTCAGGGTTATGTGCTGATTGAATATGAGAAGTTTGAGGAAGCTAAGGCAGCAATATCGGGAATGAATGGTGCCAAACTTTTTGGTCAAACCATATCCGGTGATTGGGCCTTCAGTACTGGTTCCTTTGGAGGCAATTTAAGGTGTGTTTTCCGTTGAGTATTTTGTGCTATGTCATTCACGGCCTTGGTTTTTCTTTTCGATTGTTTCTTTATAATTAGATTAATTTGTCATGTTTGCTAAATAAAACTAAAATTGTAGATCAATATGACATGATTCTTTAGTTTCGAGTTTTAATTCCTGATCTCTGCCACATCTAGTTTCTTACCTCATCTCTGTGAACAGAAGAACTTCTATCTTGGCACTTGTAATGGAAGCTCGTGCCGTTCTTAGCAATTATTAGTCAGATGACCGACCGATTCTTGGGCTAATGACTTTTCTCTTCCTGATATTGGGAAGAGAACCCAAATTTGAATCCACCTTCTGCGCTGATTAAAAAAATTGTTGGTCAGAGAAGAATGATTTATATACATACTTAATCTTTCAGAATATTTTAGTTTCCTGCACTAGCTAATCTCCAAGCATGCAATTGTTAAGCTTATGGGCTTTAGCTATCCATACATTAACTGATTGCTCCTCTCGTCTTCTTTGTAGGTCACCGGAATTAAACCGTTCTCGAAGTCCAAGGAGGAGATACTGATATGTTCTAATGACATTGGCAACTAATTGGCAAGTGTCCATCACTAATTCTGCGGTATTGTAAGTTGTCTCGAAAGATTAGGCTAGAACGGAAGTTGCAAAACATGAACGTATGGAACTATTGAGATGGCATGTAACTAAACATCCCTAGTTGTACTTGGTTTCTTTGAGAGCCAGTTCTAACTGGGTATTAAGTTGATCCAAATATAATGCTGCTGTAAGGGTAAAGATGTTGTTTCCTTTGCAATTAGGTTTAGCAGATGTAGAAGTGAATAGTAAGCTAGAGTTTATTTCCACCAGTTGGATGAACTTGAGGTTCAAGAAACCGCCGACTGTTCATGTTTTCCGTTCATGGTATGCGAACAAATAAATTGCAACCACGGTAGCGACCCAAGAGCAACCGCCCCTACCTTCTTTGTTGCCCCCACTGCCGCCCTCATCACTAGGGGTGGGTTCAGTGCAATACTGTGCCCTTACCAATTGTCATAAAATCGGTATGGTGCGGTTAGCAATTGGATTGGCAAAAAATCCACCTATTCATTACCATCATTGTATGCCACTACTGCCGTCATGACTGCAACCAAACAATGATCAAATTATTGCCAATAGCCTGCAATGTGTACCTTAATGCATTGTTTTATGAAGTACTCACTTGTTGGATCGGATGAGATTGGACTTTGTTATATAAGATAGGTTATGATTGGAATGAAGTGGATATGATGTGACTCTTGTCAAGTGTGTGGTGTAGACAACTAATTTGGACTGGTTATGAATTAATTCACTTTTCGTAAAAATAATGATAATAATAATAAATCCAAATTCCCCAAGGCCACAACCATCAAATATATATATATATATATATATATATATATATATATATATATATATGGGTGTTTATAAGGTGCTGACGTTAAAAACGCACCTTGCGTGTGGACCATAAACATACGGTGGTGATTTGCTGAGCTCGAGTAGAACTGGGTTGTTGTGACCCAGTGTAATTAAACATCTAATTTTTTTTATTCGGTTGGTAAGTATTTGTCGGAGAGAAAGTTGAAGGCAGGGAGTTGAAGGATATGTTTGCGTGTTGGAGAGGGAAAGAAAGAGAGGCAAAGACATGGAGGTTGGGTGAGGATCGATTCTAGTTGGGCTAAAGCTGCGTTATGATTGATTCCAGTTGAAGAGGATAATCTTATACCTTTAAATTTTTTTTTTTTCCGTTCACTAGGGGTGTTTTTGTTGGTGAGAGAGGAGGAGAGTAATCTTATACCTTTAATTTTTTTTTTCGTTCAGTGTGGGTGCTTTTGTCGGCGAGATAAGGGAAGATTAGGGTTGCCTTCGGCGGGAGAGAGAGGTGGAGAGAGGGAGTTGGTGAGGTTGGGAGGGTTTGATTTTAGGTCGATTGATTGGGACCTGGTAAGTCATATATCTTTATTTTTTATTTTTGTTCATTGGTGTGTTGTTGGACTGGACTTGGTTTAAATCGTGAATTTGAAATTTAGATTTTGTTTTTGTCGTGAAATTTAGATATATAGGGGGTAAAACTTGTGTTGGGTTGTGATACATTATGTTGTAGTTGTGAAGTTTTGTAGTAGGTAGACATTGAAGTATACTTGGATGGGGGATGAACTAATATTTTTCTGTGGGCATGGTTGTTTAGAAAGTTTCAGGGTCACACCAGTGTTGGAAATTGTGCTACACAAACCATGACATATGATGAATGTATATGAATATTTGTGGTAGCTTATTAACATTTATGACAATAACACTTGAGCGACTTACAGAAGCTTGACATTACGATATACTTAAAAAAGTGTGCAAAATGTACATAACAACGAGTCCTAAATATATAACAAGGCAAATTTGACCTTAAGGATCCTTGGGAGGCTTGTGAGCCGTTTTACTCGTGCTCCTTGTAATCACCACCATCTCCTACGATGTCCTCCATGGGCAAGGGCAAAATGCAGTCCCAAACATATCCCTTGCGGTTACCGTGGAGACAGGAACGGAATTTCTCAAACCTATACAAGAAAGCAAAGTCACACTCTTTCTGGAGCTGCTTTGTTGCCTGATAGGAGCATTTTTATGCGACTTAATTGGCTTGTTCTCATGCATTTATGTTGTTTTTCCTTAGTTAGTTTAGTGTTTAAAGTCATTTTCGTGCAATTTCAGGTTTTAGTGTCAAAGTATGCAAAAAGAAGCAATTTGGAGCATTCTAGAGCATTTTTGGGCCAAGATTGGATAGTGCAAGCATGGAGGCATGAGGATGGACGAATTTGAAGGCTTGAATTCAGTTAGGGAGCTGCAAGGGGGCCTAAAAACCTTATTTCTAGAAGGCTTTATCTATTCACACATGGTGCCTAATTTCTGTATTGGAAGAACAAGCTGTCCTAGCTTGTCACTAGCCGTCCTACCTTGTCTCCTAGCCGTCCTAGCTTGTCACTAGCCGTCCTACCTTGTCTCATAGCCGTCCTAGCTTGTCACTAGGCGTCCTAACTTGTCACTAGCCGTCCTACCTTGTCTCATAGCCGTCCTAGCTTGTCACTAGCCATCCTACCTTGTCTCCTAGCCGTCCTAGCTTGTCTCATAGTCGTCCTAGCTTGTCACTAGCCGTCCTACCTTGTCTCCTAGCCGTCTTACCTTGTCTCCTAGCTGTCCTACCTTGTCTCCTAGCCGTCCTATCTTGTCTCCTACCTTGTCCAAGCCGTCCTACCTTGTCCAAGCTACACACATATATCCTTTAAGTGTTTCATGTATAGAATTTCTGGTACAAAAACCTTTTGGTTTCAACTAAGTTCTAAACATTTCCTAGCCCTATAAATAAGGCTTTGCAGCAAGGCACTAAGGGGATCACTCATTCACCCAATTTTCGTCCATTCATCTAGCCACACCACTCTACACATCCTAAAATCCTAGAAACACAATTCCAACCAAACACTACACCTTGCCGTGCCTATCCTCCATCCAATTCCATAATCCCTGATCCTAAAACACATCCCAACCATCCCATCCACCTTTGTGCCGTAGCAAGGAGAAAGAAGGAAGGACTCTTGGATGCTCAAGCTTCGTCGTTGGTGCATTCTAGGTGTAATTCGTTTTATGATTTCAATGTTTAATTTATTTTCCTTTCATTTTGCTATGAACATGAGTGGCTAAACCCCTATTGGTTAGGGTGATTTCGAAGCCATAACTATGTGTGCAAGATGATTTGATAAATTCCAGTTATGAGTTCTTGAATCGTGAATGCAATTGGCTTAACTGTGCGAGTAATAACATATTTGTGTTTGTTAATTAGGGGTCGACACTTAATTGGCTTGCATGAATATGATGCTAAAATATAAGTTTGTTTCACATAATTGTCACACACTTATATTCACAAGTAGTGAAGGTTGTTAGTCATAATCGCGTTAAGTTCAATTCCTAGCATAAGTGTCATGATGTCATAGTCACAAGTGCTTTGTCAATGCTTATAGTTTTCATTGAACGTAATGATCTTTGATTGTATCTTTATTATGATGTCATGTAAGGAACTTTTGAAGAATGCTTTGGGTTGTCGTATGATGTCATCCAATTCAATAACACAAGGAAAACTTGAGAATTAACTAGTGATGTCATGGTTAATTTGGGGCATTGTCATTCATAATTCTATGAAGGAATAACTGGAAATCGAGTCATTTGCATACTTGTCATGTGTGGAGAAAGAACCCCTAACTAGTCCATCATCCATTAAAAACCCCAAAAACGTTTCAAAATCAGTTTTACTTTGCAATCTGTTTTCTCAACTTTAATTTCGTCCAAATCAAATCCCCCTTTACTTTGAAGTCTCAATTTAGTTAGAAATTGTTTTGGTTCATGTTTTTAAGTGTTTTGAGTCAAGTTTTCAACCAATTTCGTCCAAATTAGTGTAGGTGCTCAAAACTGCCCAGAAAGTGGTTTTTAGGTAGTTTTGAGTCTTCTAGTTGCTGTTTTGAGTTTTTGTTTTGTTTTAGTGTTTTAACTTTGGTTTTTCATTCTTTGAGTCCAAATTAGTGTTTTTAACTTTGTTTTGGAGTTCTTAGGTCAGTTTTCAAGAGTTTAGCAATCCCTCCTAATCCCCGGTTTTGAACGTTCCCTACTTACATACTTTGCTACAATTGTCAGAAGAGGGTTTAATTTGTGTGCTTAATATATTTCGCATCAAATTTTTGGCGCCGTTGCCGGGGATTAGCAACTTTGTTAATCCCTTGTATTGCTTTTGTTTCATTTATTTCACTTTGTTTCGGATTTTGTTTTAGTTTCTGACCCATTTTTGTTTCTTGTTTTTTAGGTACTAGTGCATGACGCGGAGTTCTCAAACTGTGCATGCACATATCTTAGACTTTAACGACGATTTTGAACGTGATTTGAGAAGAAAGAGGAGGCATCCCGAACGTAGTGAACCTAGTTCAAGTTCAGAGGCCGAATCTGAGTTTGAAGAAGTGGAAGAAGAAGTTATGGCAGAGGACAATCGGACCATTAAAGAGCTTTCGGCCTCAGGATTGGCCAATGCCGCACCATTATGCATTCAATACCCCGCGGCTGCCCAAGGCAAGACCGATGAATTCGAGTTGAAGTCAAGCTTGTTGCACCACATTCCTAAATACCATGGGCTTTCCATGGAAGATCCAAACAAGCATCTTAAAGAGTTTGAAGTAGTTTGTTCAAGCATGACTCCCGTCAATGTTGACGGAAGTATTTTGAAGATGAAAGCTTTTCCGTTCTCTTTAATGGATAAAGCTAAGGATTGGTTATACGAGTTGGCTCCTGGCACTGTCACTTCATGGGAGAGTATTAAAAGAGCGTTCTTGGAGAAGTTTTTCCCAACTTCTCGCATCATTCTTCTTCGTAAAAAAATAAGTGGAATTCAACAAGATGAAGGTGAGTCTTTTCCTGCATACTATGAACGTTTTAAATCACTTGTTGCTTCTTGTCCACAGCATCAGATGAAGGAGGAGCTACTTTTGCAATACTTCTACGAGGGCCTCCTACCATTAGAACGTCAAATGCTCGATGCCTCGGCAGGTGGAGCATTAGTGGACAAAACACCTATGGCTGCCAAGACCTTGATTTCTAATCGAGCGTTGAACGCTCAACAATACGAAGGAGTAGGCCAAAGAGGACCCCCACGGCAACATGTTCATGAGGTAAGTTCTACTTCCGACATTAATTCACAATTGGCTAATCTTACTTCTATTGTGTCTCAGTTGGCCGAG